AAATAAAAAAGAGACATTGAATAGTATTCCTCCGAAGATAAAGAAAATGCATAATTACAGTAATGAATTAATTTCATCAGTGGTTAGATCCAATTTTTTTAAAAGCATCAGGAAGCAATAATATTTCCATAGACTTTCAGTTTACCAGCACTTGGTAGGTGTCAGATAAATGTTGTTTCTGGTTGCTTGAGAGTTACTATTAAAATAGGTCTAATATCATACCCCGGTGGCGCAGTGGGTTAAAGCACTGAGCTGCTGAGCTTGTTGATCGAAAGGTCGCAGGTTCAATTCCGGGGAGCGGCGTGAGCTTCCGCTGTCAGCCCTAGCTTCTGCCAACCTAGCAGTTCGAAAACATGCAAATGTGAGTAGATCAATAGGTACCACTCCAGTGGGAAGGTAACGGCGCTCCATGCAGTCATGCCGGCCACATGACCTTGGAGGTGTCTATGGACAACGCTGGCTCTTCGGCTTAGAAATGGAGATGAGCACCACACCCCAGAGTCAGACATGACTGGACTTAATGTCAGGGGACTACCTTTACCTTAATATCATACCCCATAAGTAAAGGTAAAGGTTTTCCCCTGACATTAAGTTGTGTCCGACTCTGGGGTGTGGTGCTCGTCTCCATTTCTAAGCTGAAGAGCCAGCGCTATCCGTAGACACCTCCAAGGTCATGTGGCCGGCATGACTGCATGGAGCACCGTATCTGGGCTGGGGAAATTTGCATTGCAAAACTACCTTGACAGAAAAAAACATTTTAGATAAACTATCTCGCCTGTTTTTTTTGTTTGTTTTTTTTAAAAAATATAATTAGCTGTAGCTATTAAAGAGTTTGAAATGACTCGGAGGGAGGGGAGCACTGAGGTGAATGTTGGGAAAATACATAAAAATTAAATTAACAGTAGATGTAATGACATTTCCTTATGGACATCAGATATCTATTGTATTACAAACATAATGTATTCACTTATTTTAACACTAGCTGTCCCTTGCCACGCGTTGCTGTGGCCCAGTCTGGTGATCTGGAAAATATATGGCTGACTTCTCTGGTTGAAGTAGTCTGCAGTGCCTTTCAGAGAAGTCAGTCATAGCAGAGCACCTGATGAACCAACCTGGACACAGCATATTATTTGAGAACACAGAAATGCTGGACCACTCTCACAACCACCATGTCAGACTACACAGAGAAGCCATTGAAATCCACAAGCATGTGGACAATTTCAACAGAAAGGAGGAAACCATGAAAATGAACAAAATCTGGCTACCAGTATTAAAAAACTCTAAAATTACAACAGCACAACAACAGAGAGGAAACAAACAAGGACATCTAATCACCTCTCAACAAAAGATTCCCCCAGGCACTGCCAAGCCATCAAATGGTAATTAAGGTGGTCAGTTGAAACATTCACACCTAGCTCCAGCAGACAACAGTTCTTTGTCCCACCCTGGTCATTCCACGGATATATAAACCCATTTTCCTAGTTCCAACAGACCTCACTACCTCTGAGGATGCTTGCCATAGATGCAGGCGAAACGTCAGGAGAGAATGCCTCTAGAACATGGCCATAGAGCCCGAAAAACCTACAACAACCTAATATCCTATTATATCTTGCATTTCTGTTGTTTCTCATCCCCACCTTCCTCATGATATGAATGAATTCATAGTCCACAAGGCCTTATACCTGATAGACATCATGGGCCTACAAAGCTCTTTTGTTGTTTCTTCTTTGGGTTATTCCTTCAGCTAGTCTTACCTCACAGGGTTATTGTGCAAATAAAAGAGGAAGGTTTCCACAGCGGCTCGACTTCTATTTGGATGAAAGGTACGATCTACATCTCACCTCCAAACAAAGCCATCCTTGTCAAAATGGGTGTTTCTTCCACACTTGTTCTTTCTCTGAAACCAAGAAAAGGCAGGAAATTCTCTCGGGGCCTCTCTTCACCTGAGGTACGAAGCACAAGGAAAAAAGGTAGGCAGGTGAAGCCACCAATTCAGCTCTGTGGGCAAATATGGCAGTAGCAGGGTGGCAATGGGATAGCAATGAGAGTGGTTCTCTTCAGCATAGTTCAGGCGGTGTGTTTGCTTTTTGTTTGCTCAGACTCCCTTGTCCCTCCACACACAGACAACCTTTGAAATGTATCAGTTCTTGGGGAAAAGAAAAGTGTTGGCCAGTGAAAAGAACACAGAGTTGACAGAAAAGGCACAGGGTTGGTGTGTGGTGAAAAGGACCAGCTTGCATTGGAAGTAGTTCAAGAGGAGAAACCGACACAGAAGGGAGGCACCAGCCCCCTCCCAAGGGGTTTCCTTGAGAGGTTCTTTCCACTCTTAAGCCCATGGCCCCTAGCAGTTTTTCCAACCTGGATTTAATATAGACAGTCCCTGGGTTACAAACATCTGACATGAACAACTCATAGTTAAGAATAGGAAGAGAGATAATCTACCCCTTGGAAGGGAAATTCACCCCTGAAAGAGTTGTTGTTGTTTATTCGTTCAGTCGCTCCCAACTCTTTGTGACCTCATGGACCAGCCCACGCCATAACTCTCTGTCGGCCGGTTGTCACTACCCCCAGCTACTTCAAGGTCAAACCAGTCACTTTAAAGATAACATCCATCCATCTTGCCCTTGGTTGGTTCCTCTTTTTCCTTCCATTTCCCCCAGCACCATTATCTTCTCCAAGCTTTCCCCTCTTCTCATGATGTGGCCAAAATACTTCATCTATTCCTCAAATATCCTTCCCTCCAGTGAGCAGTCGGGTTTTATTTCCTGAAGTATGGACTGGTTGGATCTTCTCGCTGTCCAAGGCACTCTCAGCACTTTCCTCCAGCACCACAGTTCAAAAGCGTCTATCTTGTTTTGCTCAGTCTTCCTTATGCTTCAGCTCTGACATCCATAGGTTACTATGGGGAATACCATTGCTTTAACTATATGAATCTTCATTGCCAGTGTAATGTCTCTACTCTTCACTCTTTTATCGAGATTGGTCATTGCTCTTGTCAAGAAGTAAACGTCATCTGATTTCCTGGCTGCAGTAATCTATGCACCTAGAAATACAAAGTCTGTCACTGCCTCCACGTTTTCTCCCTCTATTTGCCAGTTGTCAATCAGTCCGGTTGCCAAAATTTTGATTTTTTTGATAACTGCAACCCAGCTTTTGCACTTTTTTCTTTCACTTTGATTAAAAGTCTCCTCAGCTCCTCCTTGCTTTTGGCCATTAAAGTGATATCATCTGCATATCTAAGGTTGTTAATGTTTCTTCCAGAAATTTTAACAACAGCCTTGCATTCGTCAAGCCCCACACATCGCATGATGTGTTCTGCATACAAGTTGAATAGGTTGGGTGAGACTATACAACCCTGCTGTACGCCTTTCCCAATCTTGAACCAGTCTGTTGTTCCATGGTCAGTTCTTACTGTTGCTACTTGGTCCTTGTACAGATTCCTCAGGAGACGGACAATGACTGTGTGGGATCACAATAAATTGTGGCAAGTTCTTGGTAGTATGGAGATACCAAATCATCTTGTCTGTCTCCTGAAAGAGTTATCATGGGGAAAAGAGGTCTCCACTGAAGCTTTCTTGCCAATCCTGGTTTTCACAACAAACCATTTAAAAAAAAATTCAATTCTCACAGGGACAGAAAGTGAGTTAAAATCTTTTGAACTGGTCCACAGACAGCGAAACAACCACCACAAGGGTGTTAATTCTTCTCTATGTTACTCAAAGCATGCACACACACACCTGGCTGGAGTTACACTTAAAATGTACTTGTTCTGACTTACATACAAATTTAACTTAAGAACAAAATCTACAGAATCTATCATGTTTGTAACTTGGGGACTGCCTGTATTCAGTGTGCCTTCAAGCCATTTCTCTAAGACCAACATATCACAGGGTTTTCTTAGCAAAATTTGTTCTGAGGGGGTTTGCTTTGCCTCCCTCTGAGGCTGAGAGAGTGTTACTTGCCCAAGATCACCCATTTGGTTTCTATGGCTGTTTTCAAAGTCATAGTCAGATCACAACATGACACTGGATCTCTACTTCTGTTTCTGCCCTGGTAATTCTGCCAAAAAAACCTGTAATAGGTTCAACTTTGTTGCTGTGTTCATTCAGGTTGTTTCCCACGTATGGCAGCCCTAAAGCAAACCTAACACCGTTTATTGGGGGGGGGGGGTGCAAGTCAGGTCCTCTGATCTGATTTACGTGTTCTTATACAAATTGCAAGGAATATGATTTTGAAATATTTAATAATTTCAAAAGTGTATCTTTTTAAAATGTATTTTTTATTTTCTCTTCCTGTTTTTCCTGTTTCCTATGGTCTCATATATTCTTCCTTACTGCTGTATATTCGCAGTCTGAAAAGCCAGTATGCTTTAATTACAGATACAAATTAATAGAATATCCAGTTTATAAACAAGCTAGCCACTTCATTCTATTAACAAGTAATATTGCTACTGTACATTTAATGTGAAATTGTTACATATCATATAGCTCACTGTTATCTTTTGAAATATAATTTGATTCTAGGAGTATTCTGCTATACTAATGCAAAACTCAACCATACTATTAATTTAATAACACCCCACATTCATAGAAAGATGCATTTGGTTTCATGTTCTAAGTGTACGAATGTAACATGGTCCATCTTTTACATATTGTTTATACATTGCCAGCAACACAATCCATGTCCATAAGCTGTTTCTACACATATATCTGTATGAATCTTTTACGGGATCTGAACAATCAAGAACTTGGGGGAAAATATTATACTTGCTTTAGAAGTGATGGTTTTTATTCTAATCCTCTATTATTGCTGTTAAAAGTAAAATTCCCTCTTCTTTGCTTTTGTTTTTAACTAGAGGAATGGCATTGCATTACAGACTTTGTTTCACAAAGCATGTTCAGAAAACTGTGAAACTAATAATTGTGGGGAGTTAATCCAATCTCAAATAAGTAATTATTTGAAAATACAATAGAAAGCAATACATAAATTCAGTGCTCACGTTCTTCTTACAAAACAGCCAAATTTTATATTTTATTTTGTATAAAATATGAAATACAATTTCAAATGAAATATTTCCTTGCTAGTTGCTCTGTGGAATATCTGTTAAACAATGAATAAGAGGTCGGCCATGAACACAGCTTTTATCTTGATTTCCAAGTTGCTGCTTCATTCTACATACAGTGTCCTGAACATCTTCCTTTGATAAATACAATGGTAGCTGCCGGGAAAGTCGCACTGCTTCTCCCTGTGGAAGCAAAAACATTGTATTACCTGCGGTTATAATATACTAAAGATGTAAGGTGGTGAACTGTCAAAAGGACATTTTTGCTAACATATTTTTCTGGAAAATTCACATGCTCTTATTCTTTCAGCAAAGTAATAGATTTGGAAAGAAGAAAACATTATCTGTAAAACAAGAACTTCAGCAAACATGGTGTGGAGCATTTTCCCAGTAAATATATAAGTAATTCACAGGGATTACATATTTATTTCTTTATTTACTTACAGTGTTTACATTCTGCCCTTCTCACCCTGCAGGGGACTCAGGGCAGATTACAATGTACATATACATAGCAACATTCAATGCCATAGACAACATATATAGACAGACACACAAAGGCTATTTAATATTCCGGCTTTCTTTTCCCTTGAGGGTATGCTGGCCACCAGGGGAGCTGTCGCTTCACCGTCCATTTGTGACACTGATGAAGTACTTCCTCATTCTTTGCATGCTTGCTGGAGATTTTTATGGTGTCGTAAATAAGCCTCCCCACATAAGCGGTAACTAAATTTCCTACTTGAAAGATGCAACTGTCTTTTGAGCTGCAAAATAATTTGCAGAGAAAATGCCATTTTCTTTTGTCTGAAATCCTCAGGAAAAAAAAGTTGCTCAGAGCTTATTTCAAAACAAATTTGCACAGCATTGCATTTCTTCAAATCCAATAGGATAGTTTTTATTCCCATGTGGGGAAAGGAAGAAAGGTAGGAACCTCTAGATATGGAACAAGTAAAAAAAGAAGATAGTATCACAATTATATTTGCAAAATAAATCTAAAGGAGAGAAGATGATTTTTAAAGATTTTGGTGGGCAAATGTGTAGAATTTAGCTGGACTGAAGACTTCGAACAGGGCCACTGATTCTTGAAGAAATAAAAAATCCTTCTGTCAGCCCCTATAGCCAAAAGATTACATGTATCTTCCAGGGCTCTCTAGTTTACATGGTGACACAAAGTTAACACGTGCCTGTTAAATGCAATGTTCATTAAGTTGAGAAAGAGCTAGATCTCCAAACTGGATTGAAGATTATTTGAGTACCTAGGAATAAATCAATTAGCAATGCATGTAGGCAGATTTTCATGGCTATCTGAAAATGGGGAGGTACAGTAAGAATGCACATTCAGTGCATATTCTTTGCAAACATCCATTTGGTTGATTCTGCACATATTATAAAAAGAGGAGTTTATTGTTATTTTTAGCCTTACCCATAAGCATCCAACAGCAATACCAGCTTTAGAGGAAGTAATAAAAGTACTGAATTTACCCATTCTTCTGGTAATACTTTAGCTCTCCAAAAGCAATAAAAATGTCAAGGTGAAAGTTTTTTTTAATTTAAAAAAAGCCACTGTTACATTAAAATAGCATGTTTTGGAAATAAATGATACAATATTGTTTTCTTCTTACCTCCAGGTAGTTTATGACTTTAAGAGGTCTACATTCATATACTTCTTTTGCATTATCATTTATCACAAAGTTGAGAATTTCTTTCAGATCTGATATACCATAGTATGGAACACAACTGGCCATTCCTTCTATTTCCAGTTGATTTTCTTGAGCTTCTGAACCTATTAATAATAAACATAAAAATAAACAAGACAATGTAGTATCTAGATCAGGCCTGGGCAAACTTTGTCCCTCCAGGTGTTTTGGACTTCAACTCCCACAATTTTTAACAGCCAGTAAACAAATTCAGTGGGCTCTCTATATCTGCTGGTTTTGGTTCCAGGACCCTTGTGGATACCAGAATCTGTGGATTCTTGAGTCTCATTATGTACAACTGTGTAGTAAAATGGTGTCCCATATATAAAATGGCAAAAATAAAGTTTTTGACTTGGATTTTTAAATATATAATTTCAAGTAATGGATGGTTGAATTCGTGAGTGTGAAGGACCAGCTGTCGCTAATTTACAGTGGACTAGAGGCTGCTGGAAAGCCTAGAGACAGGAAAGCCTAGAGAAGACAATTATGCTGGGGAAAGTGGAAGGCAAAAGAAAGAGGGGCCGACCAAGGGCAAGATGGATGGATGGCATCCTTGAAGTGACTGGACTGACCTTGAGGGAGCTGGGGGTGGTAACGGCCGACAGGGAGCTCTGGCGTAGGCTGGTCCATGAGGTCACGAAGAGTCGGAGACGACTGAACGAATGAACAACAACAACAACAGAGGCTGCTGTATAATAATTTGATATTGACGTAAGGTAAGCTTGTTTTGCATTACGCCCATACAGGTATCATCAGCATATCAAAATAAAACAATACATTATAAAAGCATTGTAAAGTTACAAAACAAGTGTTAAATTCAACAATTGTCCAATAATGAACCTGAATGTCAAACCTCAGCACTAGCTCAATTTGAGAGCTTTTAATATAGTGCGGTATTTAAATGTTTTTTTTAAGGTTAATCTGTATCTGCACATTGGAATGTGCACTTAAAACTATGGACACTCCTGCCCAGTCAAGCTATTCCATGTTAATAAACTAATTTTGCTGCTATGATTATTTATTTATTTATTTATTTATTTATTTATTTTACTTAATTTTTACGCCAATAAGAAACTCAAGGCAGTTGGAGGATGGCAAAGAAATGGGGAGAAAGATATTTCAGTGTGCATATGGTTAGACTGCTCATGTGTGGTTTTTTCTGGGAGTTGGTTATCAGCACTTTTGTCCTAACCGAGATATTTTTGTTAATATCTCAGAACCAATGATAAACTGTTGCACAAAGATATGATTGCTGTGGTATTGACCATGGAGTATATGGAAACTGCTTGGTGGTAGAAAACCTTTGAGTGAATTAGTGCGAGGAATTGGTTAGATAGGGTCAGGACAATTATGTTCTTAGAATCTCTAATATATTCTGTAAATGACTAAAGGATAGGCAAATGCTCAGGTTTCAAGCATCCTTCTATTTTATTTTCAAACAATGTGTCTGAAAATAAAATATTGCCCAACCCAAGAAGCACACTGAATACTAAAAATGCTTTTTAAGCTATTTAATTTGACTTCCTTTAGGTGGAGGAAATCTTTTGTACCTTTTTTCTACTATTTTCTCTAATATTACAAATGGGATAAGACTTGGTGTAATTAGACATGTGGGTTGATTGTTAAGGTCTCCTGACTGTATTATGCTTTACATATTTCTTTCTTTTTCTTTCTCTTCCCTATTTTTAGTAGCGCAGAGACATAATTTCTCCGTGTCTGTAAAAATCTAAATCTACACAACATATTAAGTTTAAGATTTCAGCTTATCCTAGCTTCTGAAATTAAGCTGATTGTAATGTTGGAAATGTTGGAAATAGAAACCTTCTACAAGCCTCCACTAGTTATTTATTATGTATATAATTCAGATTGCTTACTGTATTGTATACGTATGCAGTTTTCCTTAACTCTGTTGTGGGAGGGGCTGCAGACCATGTGATCCAATCTGGGACTATTCAGATCTCAGACTCCATTTTAGAAACAGTATGCTTTTAGAAGACAGTAGAAGCAGATTGTACAGAGACTTTATTAGATTCCTCAGAACAGAGAGATGCTTTACACTTCAGACTTTTAAGATTAGAAGATGCCCTGCGATATGTCCACAGAGAAACTACTTCAAATCCTATTTATTTATTATTTATTTATTTGCAGCATTTATATTCTGCCCTTCTCACCCCGCAGGGGACTTAGGGCGGATCACAGTGTACACATATATGGCAAATATTCAATGCCAATTTTGACTTACAACATATACAGAGGCTATTTAACTTTTTTTGGCCGCCAGGGGAGCTGTCGCTTTCATTGTCCATCTGTGACACTGATTAAGTGCTTCCGCATTCCCCGCATGCTTTTTTGCTGGAGTGCTTTGCTGGAGTCTTTTTTATGGCCTCATAAATTAGTTAATTTAGCCTCCCCACACTTTAAGGTGGTACCTAATTTTCCTACTTGATAGATGCAACTGTCTTTCGGGTTGCAAAGGTCGACAACAGGCTACACAATTGGTTGGAAACCCACTCCAACCTGGGCTGGCTTCGAACTCATGACTTTTTGGTCAGAGTGATTGATAAACAATGTACCTGTATGCTGAATACATGAAGTTTGTGACTAAGCCAACTATGTTATTTTAAAGAAAACTACTTTATTTTTGTTTCGGGAGCATGATTCAAGCCAAGATGTTTTAAGGGAGAGTAGATTTTTTGGGCAACTAAAAAAAGAACCCTTCTGAAACTCTACTATATGTTTTTGTGCACTGGCATATCTTTGTTCCTAACAGTTCAAAGAGATATCCAGTGATTTCAGTTTAATAGCTGAGAAACCTAATTGCCTTACATGAATACTAGTGGATATTTGCCACTAAGGAGAAGGTTGACTCAAGCGAGTTTTCAACTCTTCTCAGGAAAATTATATTTTACAAAAGGTTAGGATCTCTAATAAGGTCATGCCTTTCCAAAAATTATGATTATTCCAAATAGATCTGAATAGCCATTTTCCAAAAGGTTATGGAGATTTCAATTTCCCAAAAGTAAAAACTACAGGTGTCAATAATTTAGGGAGCTATTGGCACCTTCACTTCTCAATGAACAAAAAGCATGGTGATGGTTGTAATGGAGAAAGCTAAACCAGAAAACAAGCTTGGCCCCAAAGTAGGTTCATTGCATCTTTTGACAGCAGGAAGTTTTCCTTTTCTGATTCATTTTCATAAATTAAAAAAATGGAAAGAAGACAGGAAATAAACCAAAGAAGGAGAACTGCCTGCTGCCATACAGGACAATAAACAACAAACAAAATAATATAATGAAACACCTCTCTGCCAACACTGGTTGATAAATTGTACTATCTATATAGGCATTAACATGTTTTCCCTCCTGCCTATAGATTTTGGCACCAAATTAAGTTACAGGCACTAAAGTACTAGTTAGAGAAAAAGTAATGTTGATCTGGAGCCCTGACCCCTAGGGCAAGAGGTAAAATTTGGGAGACTTAAGGAAAGAATTTTTCACTGAATGGAAACTTTTCTTTCTACAGTAATATCATATGTAATTGGAACCTATTGTAAAATGTGCTGACTGGAGGCTTTATTTATAAACGGAGTTTAAATTCAGCCTGTAGTGAGTATTAGTGAAGTTGTACATGGGTTAAGAAAATACTTCTTGTTGGAGGGAATTCATTTTTCATCAAGATAGTTTTCCAAGTTTGTTGTTGTTGTTGTTTGAGACCCATCTTTTAAGATTCCCATATGCTACAGCAGATCTGTCATCGCACTATATATGGAGCATGGAGCAGCAACACATGAAGCTATAGCATTTCTGAGAACTCACAGTATATCTTTACTAGGACCTAGTGAATTACTATAGAGGCATCATATTCCAATTAAAATTAACTTCCTGCAGGGCTCTGTTTAAGAGAAATTTACTACTTTAGGAATTATGGTTGTAAAATATACATTATATGGCTAATTTAAGGAACATGCAACAGAAAGTTGCAACATACCTAGATTGGAATAGAAAATCTCCAAGTCTGGCTCCAGAAAATTCAGGTTTATACTCTCACACTACCCTAATGTTTTTCATCAGTTAAACAATCTAGAAGCAAAGCCATATTAAGGAATATTAAATATCATTCCAGGTAACACGTAGGGAACCCTAGAATAGTACTAACTTTAACCTGTAATTACCTTTTACCAAAACTAACTAAAAGTTGGTTACAGCTGTGGGAAAGCGGTTTTCCATTCATTTATATAAAGTAAATGAAAATAACGTGAAACTGAGAAAAAAACGAAACCTTTGTCCCGAATTTTTGTGAAAATATTGAATTGACAATATATTTTGTTGGACTATACTCGTGGTGGTGCAGTGGGTTAAACTGCTAAGCTACAGAACTTGCTGACTGGACGGTCCGCGGTTCGAATCTGCAGGATGGGGTGAGTGCCCATTGTTAGCCCCAGCTTCTGCCAACCTAGCAGTTTGAAAACATGCAAATGTGAGTAGATCAATAGATACTGTTTCAGCGGGAAGGTAACAGTGCTCCATGCAGTCATGCCGGCCACATGACCTAGGAGGCATCTACAAACAAAGCCGGCTCTTCGGCTTAGAAATGGTGATGAGCACCATCCCCCAGAATCGGACTCAACTAGACTTGATGTCAAGGGGAAACCTTTACTGAGATGTAGGTTGGGTCAAATCTCAGATAGACAAGCTTCAACGACTCTTCCAGATACTAGTGAGACCTTCACAAGGAAAGGGTTCATGATGACAGCCATGTCTTGTTTGTCTTGAGTATATGGCCATCCCAAGCCAACAATCTCCACATAGGCAAACTCCCTTCATAGTTGCAGCTAATTGTTCTAATTATTCTTCATAAACTTGAGGAAACACTCCGTGGCCATGATATGATTCCAGGACAACAGATTTCATAGGTTAAGGATATCAATGAACAAACTGGCATTCCAGTGTCAGGAACCGGTTTCCAGGCTTTGAGTCTTGGCGCAAGGTTATTAAATTGAATGCACAGATCATTTATGTATTTGTATGTATTTTTTTCTTTTTCACAAATTTACTTCGCAGTGGGAACGGACACTATTCTTAAATATAAGAACCCGTTAATGCCTAAGTCTTTATATACAAAAAAAAATTCACTTTCTAGTTAGCTGAGCATCCATTTATTTTGGTGTCTGCAACATCGTTCTGACATTAAACGTAATCTGGTCTATGTAAATTTGAAACACTATTGCAATATAGAGAATACTATATGAGTCTATCTCACCTTTACCTCAGGTGCAGATCAGCCATAGATAAAATTTAACTAATAGTGTTCATTTCTTAAGAAATATCATAATTGCATCTTACACATGGAATCAGTATACAGAATTTGTTTTCCAGCCATCAAAAATGTTCCGCACAATATATTTGGACCAAGTAGCAGAAAATAAACATCTGAAACTATATACAAATTAAGGTACTTAAAAAGAAATTTGCATTGGGAGACATAAGCATAAATGTGTAAATGAACTATTTTGTTCATGTATGCTGAAATTCCTACACAGGAAACTAATTACACAGCATAATTACACAGCATTTATTAGAAACAAGGAATACATGCCCGTACCGCTGGGAATGAAACATTATACTCCTGAAACATTTAAATGAGTACATGAATTATGTGCTACATACATCCTGTAGACTGCATATGATATCTTCTTGTCTCCCCAATGCTTAACTTTTACAACTGAAGATATCAATTTAAAAATAGGACAATAGTTATTTTCCAAAAAACTGAGAAACATCAAGATGAAAGCATCATACAACCATCACCATTACACCATTACTATTCTCCTCATTTATCCAAAATAATTCATTTTCTCTCATATATATATATATCCAAAGAACCAAAAGCATGATCAGTTTCCTGTAACAATGAGGAAAAGAGACAAATGTCAATAGGTTCAGAGTCAAAACCAAAATATGAAGTCATGTCATCATACCTGGTATTAACTTTATCTTAAATCCATTTGCTGTAAGTCTTGAATCCAACAGATATGAAGACCCATCAAATCTTACACTTTCCCTGGGAATCTTGCAAAGAACATCCATATATTGAGAGTCCCTGAGAAGACTAAACATTGATTAAAGTTGAATACTTCAAAGAAGAGACAAGGAAAGTTGTATTTTGTAGTGTCTATAATCATTGTGCAACCATTAGTAGTAATTCTACTAATGGTTCTAGCTGTTTTTATAAGTGACCAAAAGCTGAAGGGCATCATCTAGATTAGTGGTTCCCAGCTCATGGTCCATGGACCACCAGTGGTCTGCAAGAACAAAAATATGGTCCGTGGCCTCACCATTACTATACCGTTGCCTCGAAACCATGTGGCAACAAGAGTGACTGATTTCGTAAAAACCCTCTTATAGTGCCGAGGCAACAGGAATTTCGGGAGGGGAGAGGCTAACTACCCATGAAAGATTAATACTACCCCATCAACTCTAGATTGTCCCTGGTCAAAAAAAGGTTGGGAACTACTACTCTAGATACTACAAAATTCTACAGGTAATTGCAACTGCTGTCCACTTTTCATCATTGCAGCAGGATGTTCAGTTTTTGTAGTTTGAGACTCTAGAGCACAGTCATACTAATGGTTCAGTTCTTTGTGGCATCTACTATTTTCTTCCTGTTTTTTTTCTCTTTTCTCTTGTTGCTAAAGGCTGAGGTGTCACTCAAATGGTGGTGGGCAAGTTATCAAGGTCAGAGGGTATCGCGAGATCCTTTGGAACTCAAGGCGGGTTGTACTCCTTCTAGAATTGCCTACCAGCACTAATTTTGCCATTGAAATGCAGTGCCACGGCATTCTGTCTTCTATGGTGCATAAAGAGGAAGAAAGATCAAGGGATGAAGTAGGAAATATGAGGAATGCAATAAACGAGGAAAGCAGGTAGGAGGAAGAGAGATGTAAACAGGAAATGAGGAACCCATAACAAAGTTTTGATTGTGGTCCCTCCATATTTCAGTGGTAGTTCAACATGGTGTGAGGGGGTTGCATGTGATGTGGGTTCTGCATATCCCCACACTAAATCATGTACAGGGGCACAAATATATATTGTTGCTATTCAATCTAGTAGATGCTACTATTGATAATAAGTCAAGTCTTCTTGCAAGAGAGAAGGATATGGGCTTCCAGTTCATCAACACACTAAAAATGATTTATTCAAAGCAGAGCGCAAGGATAAGGATCAATGGCCAGCATACAGAGAAGATCACAATAGAAAAAGGCACCAGACAGGGTTGTCCCCTGTCCCCTTTGTTATTCATTATGACCCTGGAGATTCTCCTCGAAGACATCAGAAGGGACAGAGAACTTAGAGGAACCAAAGTCAGGAAGGATGAATTCAAGATAAAAGCCTATGCTGATGACATAGTGTGTATAATAGAAAATCCAATCGAAACAACTCAAAAATGGATGGATAAGATAGAAACATATGGAAAGGTCTCAGGGCTCAGAGTCAACAGGTCAAAGACAAAAATCCTGACAAAAAACATGGACAAAGCCAAGAAGATCAGACTAGAGAACATCTCAAAGCTTTGTGTGATCAATAAGATAAGATACTTGGGGATATGTCTGACATCCAGCAACTCACAACTGATTAAGAACAACTTTGAGCCAACATGGAGAGAAATGTGTAAAAAGATGGAAGGCTGGAGGCAGTTAAATCTAAGCCTCTTGGGCAGAATTGCCCTCATAAAGATGAATCTTCTCCCTAGAATGATTTTCCTTTTTCAGACGATACCGGTGATCAGAACTAACTATCTCTTCACTCAATGGAAAAAAGATATGATGAAATTCGTCTGGTGTGGGAAAAAGGCAAGAATCAAATATAAAACAATGATAGATGTTCGGGAGAGAGGGGGCTTCGGTCTACCCAGCCTACAATCCTATTATGAGGCCTGCGCCCTATCCTGGGTTAAGGAATGGTCAACTCTAAAAAAGAAAAAACTCCTAAACCTTGAAGGCTTCGACATCAGAAGAGGCTGGCACGGGTATCTGTGGCATGGCAAGGCCAAAATTGAAAAAAAAATTACGAACCATTTTATAAGAGCTGCCCTGTTGAAAGTGTGGGAGAAACACAAGGGGAAACTATACAGCAAAACTCCTCTTTGGCTGTCTCCCATTGAAGCTGCACATAAAAAGGAAATACCAAATGAAAGATGGCACACTTACAAAACATTATTGGAAAGAAGAGAAGGCCAATGGAAACTGAAATCCTTAGACTCATTAAGAGAATTGGATGAGAAGATCTCCTGGTTCCAATACATGCAAGTAACCGACTGCTTCAAAGAAGACAGAAAACAAGACTTCTCCTCACAAGAGTCACTGTGGGACACGATAATGGGAAAGAACAAAAAAGTAGTCAGAGCACTGTACGGGAAGCTGCTGGAGTGGGAAACCGAACTGGAAGTGATAAAGGAAAATATGAGCAGCTGGGCAGCTGATTTGGGGCACTCCATCCTCCTTAGCGAGTGGGAGACTATATGGAAGGAAAAATTAAAATTTGCAAAATCCGCCAATATACTAGAAAACTGGCAAAAAGTCTTTCACCGGTGGTATCTAACACCCCAGAAGATGGCAAAATTTCACAAAGGAACGAACACCGACTGCTGGAAGTGTGGCGATCAACTGGGCTCCCATTATCACGCATGGTGGCAGTGCAAAAGAGTCAGGGGCTACTGGCGGGAGATACATAGGGAAGTCCAGAGGATCTTACAGATAAAAACGGAGTTAAAAGCGGAGTATTTTCTGTTACATCTGTTAGACTTTCAGTTAGATTTTAATAAAGACATGTTGTTGTTTCATTTTTCTGCAGCCGCCAGAATAGTGCTCGCTAGCAAGTGGAAGACCAAGGAGATACCAAAAATCAACACCTGGCTATTAAAAATCAGGGATCTAATGGAAATGGACACCTTAGCGACCATGACATATGATACCAGCAAGAGACACAGGATCGACTGGCAACCATTTAGGCGTTACTTAAGAGAGAGAAAAAGCATAATTTTAGGAGATTAGGGAAGCTGCTTAGATGGCATAGAGACACTTAACCTCCTGTTACTGGTACAACCCTGCTGAATCTTAGAGGAAGCCCATCTGTTGACTGTTATTCGTTGATTGATGTTTTTGTAACCATGTGTGTAGTTGCCCTCATAGCCCTGTCCCACTGAACACTAACCCCCCTACCCCCCCCCCCACTGACCCCCCCCGCCCGCCCCCTCTTCCCCATCTCCCACCTCCCTAACTCCTGGATTGTTCTATGTTTTATGTTGAATGTTCARTTGTATAATTGTATAATTGTATGTCTTAAAAACAAAATCCTGAATAAAGACTATTAAAAAAAAATAAGTCAAGTCTTCTGACAATCTATAGTGTGTTCTAAAGTTTTAAACTGTGGTTTTTATATACATTAGTTTGGAGGGCAAAGCTGTCAAGTTGTATGTTATTAAACTGATGGTCACTTGGAGAGGAGATGTCCTCACTGATATAGCAGTGAACAAGAACCTTCAAATGGCCAGGGTCACAGTGAAGTGAACTTACTGTTATTAGAAAATATACTTGTGCCAAGTACATCAACTTCAGTTCTGGAATGAACACATACTGGTGAGCATTTGGATTTTGGTGAGCACTCAATGACTAACAACTATGTAGCATAAATCTTTTTAGGTTAGAGATGCACCTGAAGAGTGGGTTTAATCCCATAGAAGCTTACACCAAGATAACATTTCAGATATAACCAGATTTCTTGATTTGTTCCAACAAATGAATCCAGTGATCATTCTTGAATTAGGAATTGTGTTAAGTTTATCATTGATTCTGTTATATAAAAGATGTTCTGATTGAGCTATCAGAGGTAGTTTTATACTTGGAATTGTTGAAGATCATCTCAGATCTTCATGGCACCATGAGTCCCCTTTGGGGTAAGAGAGGGCGGGGTATAGATATAGTAAATAAATAAATAAATAATAACTATGGTCCTTTCCCTATTTTCTATTCCCCTGGTTTATAATGTCTCATGTAACAGATGCATGTCACACAGAGGCAATTTTAGTGATGCCCTCTTTTAGGTTTAGTTAGCAATTAAGATTATTTTTATGGTAAAATGTTTTTGCTAAAGCCTTTTATGGGAATAATAAAATACAAAAAAAATTGAAAACAAATGGAGTGCACAACTAGCAGACCAGCAAATACCAGGTAATATGCCAGAGAGCTTGCAAATTGGTTTACAATATAGCGAGTACTTTAAAAAAGTACTTGCTATATATAGACACAGAACACAGAAAAATGTTCTCAATTGTCCATACTAATGAATTCATAAAGCAAAGAGAAAACAAGCCTTAACTTAATAAGAATACGAAGGCATTTAGGGAATCAAAACAGAAACTCTCCAGGTTACGGACAATATAGTTCTGTACTTTTGTTCTTACATTGAATTTGCAGGCAAACTGAAACAAGTAGATTTCTTAAATGTAACTACAGCTATTTTTAAACTATATATTTAACTATTTTAAAGTTTTGTATAACATAGGGAAGGGTTAACACATCTGTAACATCTGTGCCTGTTCAGAAGATTTCAGTTCACTTTCTGTCCCTGTGACAACAGGATGTTGAAAATTTTGAGTTGTCATGGAAGCAAGGATTGGGCCTAAAGTTTCAGTGAAGACACCCTTGCCCTAGGATAACTCTTTCTGGAGGTAAATTTATCTTACTTCCTGTTGTCTCACCCCGTTTTTAACTATGAGTTGGATGTCTGTAACTTGGGGACTGCATGTATATAAGCCCTTCCCTGCATTATTATCCATTTAAAGATGAACATAACTCCTGATAATAAACAGCATTACTGCTTTACTATTAATCTGTTTATATATATGACAGTTTTAAAGCTGTAGCAATTTTACTGTCTCTATGTACTGTACAAGATACAACTATGGGACAAAATAATATGTTTTAAAAGATCCACTACAACACTATGTTCTGGGCATTGGGTTTGTTTTATGACCTCAAAGATACAAGTCACATAATTCTGAACATTAAAGGATTATCAAATAAAAACATATGATTTCTTATTTACTTAAAAGGACGTATTCCAGATAACATTACCTGTCAGTTAATACAATTGGTTTGTCCAACTTCTCTATAGGAAGTTTATGGCTTTTAAGAAGTTTTTTAAACAGAAGGGCTTCTTCTATTCTGTATGGATTCAGCATCATTATTTTTTTCTCAGAGGCCATGATCCATGCATCCGGAAAATTCAGAAGATGAATTAGGCAAGGTTCATCTTGATCAGATTCATTCTGCCCAAGTATGTCCAGTTTCCGCCTGAATGACTCCATAGAGAAGGGCACCCTCACAATTTTTACTGCTTGGCAACTACTGTGTTTCTTCTCCCTTTGAGAATGAAAAAGCTTGTCAAGTTTTGGTTGGTTAGACAAGCAGTCTTTCAATCTGGCTTTATGGTTTTTCCCCTTTTCTGTTGACAATTTCTTCATGCTTTGATCCACAGCTTTTCTGCTTTGTTTTTTGTATCGATCCAAGTCTCTGGCGGCTTTTTCTTCATACCTTACATAGAAAAAAGGGTTTTGGGGGGGGGGGGGAAGAATAAAGACACAGTAGAGCATATAAAAACTGGAAATTACTAAAAGATTTTATAAACACCTAACGAATATCTGACAAGAAATCATTGTTTAGTGGGTGGCAAATGTATCCATTCACTGGCAGGGCACAAGTTGTAGAAAAATTAGAAAAATTATGTATCTCCAGCCCTGAAAGAACAAGAAAACCTCCTAGAGCAAGCTTTCAAGTGTAGTAGTGGTAGCTGATGGCTTCCCCATCTCTGAGTTTTAATTTCTCATAAATTATATAGTTTTCAGTAGCAAGTGTCCCCACGTAAGCCGCCCCGAGTCCCTTTGGGGAGATGGAGGTGGGATACAAAACTAAAGTTATTATATTATCATTTTTGAGGGGGGGGGGGGATTGTTTTGCAGGGCTGTTTAGGGGTATGTGGTCTGTAATGGTATTGAGAGTCTAATGCAGGCTCCTGTTACAGAGATTAGAAGTGCCTGCATAGCAAAAGTTCAATACGAAATATATAGGATGAACTAAATGCAAGCAGCCATCTACAAGAAGCTATATATGGAAAAAATGGTAAATCTATTTCATACCGATGGCCAACACATACCACTGAAAGGCTTAAAGGGAAAAGCAGAGTGATACTTAAGCATTATAAATCAGAAAACACCACATAATTAACTATAAAATACCAATGTGACATGTTTTAACCATTATGCCAAATGCATTTTCCACTCTGTTTTTGAAATTAATCAAGATGTAATTTAATTTTGAGTGGTATGACTGACACAGGACAGAAACTCTGTAAAATCTGCAAACTTACTTCTTTTTCTCTTCTTTGTTCAATGTCTTCCACATTTCATCCATTTTCAATGTCAGTTCCTCTGTACTTGCTTTGGTATTTTCAGTCAACAATCCAGAGCGATGCTCTTGCATAAAAAAGTCAAATGCGGACATTGGTTTCTTTATTATCTGATTGCTAATTAAATCATAAGCTGTGACTTGTCCCACTTTCTCATTTACCACATCTGTTCTTTTTATAGTTTGGTTGTTGTTTTCCTCATGAAGATTTTGTTGGGTTTCTCCATCATTTTTCTCTTGAGGTTTTCCCCCTCCCCCTCCTCCAGGAATTAAAATCTGAACAGGCTCCAGATTTTCTCCTCTGGAGTTTTTCAATGCATTCCCCAAACTCCACTGATCAGCAGTGATTTCAGAAGACTCTTTTGGCATGATGGGTCCTTCTCTTTTATTTGTTTCCTGGAAATTGTCATTCCATAGATCATCTTCAATGCTGGCTTCAAAATGAGTGTCCATGAAGATACTGCTGTCTGGACTAAATATTCCTTTAGATTGATTCTGTTGGTCTTCATACAATTCTAGTGTGGCATCCTGAAATCTGTCACATCCAGTTCTCTTGCTGCCAGATGTCTCTACTTCAGTAGTAAAACCTTGAGATGGGTCATTACACAATGTTTGATTATTCAAATGGAGCTCTCTTCCACTGTTTTCCCTATTGCTACTAGATGAAAACAATGGCATGCGAGCTTGTTGATTAGTGTTTCTACAAGATCCAATTTGTTTCGTACACACTGTTGTTTGTTCTGCTTCACTAATGAAAGAATCTTCTAAAATAGTGTCTGTCTTATCAGTTGGACATGAGTTAACCTCAGTCATAGGTCCATATAGGGAAGTCAAGATATTTTCAATGGCAAGGCAGATGGATTCCTAAAAAAAGAGAAACAAGTACATTAAATAAAGAAGGTTTGCTACTATAGCACAATTCAGTCAAGCTAAAGCCCACATTCAATATTTTAAATGTTTATAACGGCGCTCCATGCAGTCATGCCGGCCACATGACCATGGAAGTGTCTACGGACAACGCTGGCTCTTCGGCTTAGAAATGGAGATGAGCACCACACCCCGGAGTCAGACATGACTGGACTTAATGTCAGGGGACTACCTTTACCTTTACCTTTTTATCTTAAAACCCAAGTCATATTTAAAGAGACAATACATTCAATGTAGTTCTCTAGATACATATCCACTTCCAGCCATACTGTACCTGGTTATGTAGCAATACTTGAGATTTATCTGGTGTTAAATTGACATCCACAGCAGATGGAGGAATAATAATGTTGATTAAGAAAATAGGATATGAACGATTAGAGTCCATGTGGAACTTCAGTTTATAGTACTGTTGGACCAGCTAAAAATACAATGACAAAGTTGAACAGTTACTTTCCAGATTGGAATAACTAATTACAATTTAAGACATATAAACAGGAATTTTCTTAGTCATGGATAAGAAGTGTATGGACTTCTAGCTGCTATTCAATTGCATCCCTCAACTCTGGTTATGCTGATTAAGGCTGATGGGTGTTGCAATTCAACAACATTTGGAGGACTAGGCAATTTGTACTCTTGTTCTGTATAAACACACAGCAAGAATTGTCTTACTATATATTGAAGGGAAGAACTGATTTCCTAGTAATTAGATGCCAGCCTCCACCATGATCCAAAGAGGTGTCAATTTTTGTTTCAGAAGCTTTTTAGTAATAAGGGCAAACACTACTATAGTATAATAGAGTATAATACGGTAGTATAATTTGCTAGGGAGCAGTGGTGGCGCAATGAGTTAAACCCTTGTACCGCTGAACTGCTGACCTGATGGTCAGCAGTTTGATCCACGAGACGGGGTGAACTCCCTTTTATCAGCTCCAGCTCCTGTCAACCTAGCAGTTTGAAAACATGTATTGTGAGTAGATAAATAGGTACTACTTTGGTGGGAAAAGGCAAAGATATGCTCCAAAGCAATCTTGCCGGCTACACAATAAAAAAGTTGACAATTCTGGCTCCTTGGCTTGAAAAATGGAGGAGAGCACCTCCTCAGAGCCAGAGATGAAGCACCACCTCCAGAAAGCCAGTAATGAAAAGAAGCCTCTGCCTTTATTTGTGTTTGTGTGTCTCATTTGTATATGACTGTAAAGGCATTTAATGTTTGCCTATGTATGTAAATGCTATAATCCACTCTGAGTCCTCTAGGGGAGAAGGGCGGAATATAAATAAAGATGATAATAATAATTATTATTCTTGACTTTCCATTTATGATTATTGCCTTTTATTATTTATTTATTTACTGTATTTGTATGCCGCCTTTCTCAGCCTTTCAGGCAGTTTACAGGCAATAAGTCAATACACATAATATCAAAATGCACTTAAAAACATTAAATATAATATAAAACCACAACAGAAACAATAAGTAACAGCCAGGAAACAGGTATTTTTAAAGTCTCCTCCTCAGCACCCTTTCTCCTCTTAGCTGGCTTGGGGCGGGGGGAGAAGCAGCAGGACTTCCTCCTTCTCCTCCTGTGACCATCAAAAATGTAATGATTTTTAAAAAATTCTTCCTCTTGTGATCCAACATTGGTCAGTACAACTGTAAGCACATAAGAAAGGCAACAAATCCATAGCCTACACCCATGAATAATTTTGTAAAATCAATGAGATTTTAAAATTATTTCAGAAGTGGGAAGTTTCAATTTCATAATATGAGGATGAGAAAAATCACAACATGATACAAAGTCATTCAACTAATTCCATGAACTCAAATACATTTTGGAGTTGTAATCTGTACTCGATTCTGCAGTGCAAACAAGAAGTGTCAGTATCTGTCTGTAATACAAATAGATGCTTAGCAGTGCAAAGTGTAAAATCCCACTAGCCGCAGTTAACAGCTAATCCAATTCTTTGTATTCCAGCCAGTATTTTATAATCCTTAAAAATGGCTAAAATGGCAATACCTTGAGAATTTCCTTTAGATACACTGGCCGATTGTTTACAAAAATGAAGCTTCTTTCTGGACTTGGATGACTTGTCAAACCACCACCTGAATCAGGCTTTGGAAGGAAACCAGTGAGAAGAACCTACAATTGTAATTGATGAGAAGACCAAAGAAACACTTTATTTTTATGATAGTTCAACATGAAAATTCAAACCAGGAAGCCAAAATGATTGCAGATGTTCATTATATTTCAACACACATCTACATCACCTATCGTAAAATAATACGAAATCAACATACAAGAATTTCAATCTGTGTGATATAACTCTGTATAGGAATACAGAAAATGAAGGTTCACATATCACTTAGGAACAAAGGGGTGCTTAAAAACTTTGCAATGCAGAAATGTGTTATGGTGCATCAGTCCTAGAGGGGAACACACCCAGAATTAAAAAATAACATACCTCAAGATCTTCACAATGGCGTTGAAATGATACCATGTTGCCCATAATGGGAGCTCCCACTACTGCCATGAAAGCCATTTTGTGATCCAATGCCCTGGTCTTCTGCCACATTACTGTCTGAAACAATATGTCACAGCACCATATGCCTGGCATTAACTTTAGTTCTGTTCAATATGATATGCTCACAAACATTTATATCCTGTACCACTTTTGTTCAGTATTTTTAACATTCTGTTCCTAGATGCCACAAGCATCCTGTGATCAAATACCCGATGCAGCATACGGCGGTCCATTTCTATCATGCTTCTTCTCTTTTGTATACACTGAATGATGCTGGAGATAACCCATCAGAATGAATGGGCACCACTTGCCTTTTGGCCTGCTCTGCAGACCAAAGGTTTGAGCTTTATTTTTAACCACTGAGTGGACTGCCAATGTCAAATGGCAAGAGCTTCCAAGAGCTTCCCAATGACACCTAGACAATGCCGGGTATTTATGCTAGTAATAATAGTAAGTTTTATTCCTTAGGCACCTCAAGGTTTGTGGAGATCGCTATTTGCCCACAGGATGGTATGCACAAATTATATGTGAACTGTGATAGATTTTTGTATATAAATTCAGGAGTAAATTTCTTGCAAAAGTGTGTCTAGCTGGATTATATATTAAGCTGACATTAAAGGAGCCCCCGCTGGCACAGTGGGTTAAACCCCTGTGACGGCAGAATTGAAGACTGAGAGGTCGGAGGTTCGAATCCGGGGAGAGTGCTCCCTCTATCATGAGCTCCCTCTATCAGCTCCAGCTCTCCATGCGGGGACATGAGAGAAGCCTCCCACAAGGGTGGTACAACTCCTCTGTTGTGCCAGCTCCACTGGCTGCCAGTTTGCTACCGGGCACGATTCAAAGTGCTGACTTTAGCCTATAAAGCCCTAAACGGTTCTGGCCCAACTTACATGTCCGAACGCATCTCCCCTTATGAACCATCTAGGACCTTAAGATCATCTGGGGAGGCCCTGCTCTCATTACCGCCTTTGTCACAAGTACGTTTGATGGAGACGAGAGACAGCCTTCTCGGTGGTGGCCCCTTGATTGTGGAACGCCCTCCCTATGGATATTAGATCCGCCACCTCCCTTTTAACATTCCAGAAAAAGTCAAGACGGGGCATAGGAAAATGGAACTACGACAATGAGACCAGACAACGTTTTTAACAAGGAGAAACTATGAATTTATATTTTATTGATATGTTTAACTTTTATTATGTTATGTTTTTAATTGTATTTATGATATTGTAAGCATCGAATTTTACCTTGTTAACCGCTTTGAGTCACCTACGGGCAGAGAAAGGTGGTATACAAATACAAATACAATAAATAAATAAATAAAACATCAAAACATCCGGGCATCCCCTGGGCAATGTCCTTGCAGACAGCCAATTCTTTCACACCAGAAGCGACTTGAAGTTTCTCAAGTTGCTCCTGACACAATTACAACAACAACAACAACAACAAAATTAAAGCAAGTTTACTATGAAATGAAAATGGAGACAACTCACATTCATTTTCCAATATTCTTGCCAAAGCTTGGCGGCATTCAACTAATGGTGAACAGGAATAGATTTTTTTACATCTATGTCTGCTCCTGTCTGCGCATAATAGTTCATTCTTTCTATGCTGGCAAGTAGACTAATACTCGTAGAAAAGAACTCACTGTGATTTCCTTTTTAGTCCAAGAGACTCTGGTAAATTGATTAATAATAAATGGGGTTTTCTGAGTGTGGTGTTCTTTTTCTATTCTTTTTTAATCAATGTTTTCAATGGTTTTATATTATTTTTTACAGCTTATTGTATGTCTTTAGCTACACATGCTTTTAGCTGTAATTCATTTTATCATGAAATTACTCTAGGAGCCCCCGGTGGTGCAGTGGGTTAAACCATTGTGCCGGCAGGACTGAAGACCGACAGGTCGCAGGTTTGAAACTGGGGAGAGCATGGATGAGCTCCCTCTGTTAGCTCTGGCTCCCTATCTGGGGACATGAGAGAAGCCTCCCACAAGGATGGTGAAACATCAAAACATCCTGGCATCCCTGGGCAATGTCCTTGCAGATGGCCAATTCTCTCAATCCAGAAGCAACTTGCAGTTTCTCAAGCCGCTCCTGACATGGAAAAAAAATGAAACTACCCTGAATCCCAGGTTTGGGGGACAGAATATTATTTCTTACCTTGCTAAAATTATTTGTACTGAAATAAAAAAATAATCAAAAACCTGTGATATACTTTTTAAAAGGAATCTTGTGCAATGTAACTTAGAAACTATCCCTTTTGCGATCATTAAAAGGAATGAGTCGTATCATTTCTTTTCAAAAGTGAAAGAACCCAACCGAACTCTAAAATCCTCTGGCAAAAACAGATTCATAGACTGGAATTCAACAAAATGCGAACATTGTAAACTAATTTGGACAAAGATGCTTTGGGCACAAGCATCGTATAAACGTCACCGTGCTTTTTTTAGGTTCAATCAGTGTGATGCCACAGTTATAAATCTTAGTTGCTGATTAATGCAAGGATGTTATTACACTGCCTGCCTGCCTGAATGGTTGATGCACATAGCTCTGAAAAGATCAGTTCGCTAAAAAACAGTTACACTGGAACATGAGAACTTTCAATGCGAAGGTTTGTCAAAGTACATGGCGCTTCATCATTTCATTTTTGGGGGGGTTTATTTTTCCATTTCGGACCGGCAACATTTCCATTTGGAATGTACAGTTTTAAACAAACTGATTAATAATAAGATAACCACAAGTAACAAGTTCTAGTAATGGCATTAAATGTAAATAACAAATTCTAGTAATGATGTTACATGTAACATGTTAATCTTTGGAGTAATAAATAATCAATTATGTATTTTTTTTTTAAAAAAAGGCATAATGCAAGGATTGGTAGCAGTTTTTGAAACTGCGTAATGAATGGAGTTTATTTGTAAGATACTGTTTGTTGGGTAATGGGATTTTTATATGTGTGTGTGTATATATAATCACACACAGATACAAAAAACACCTATATGTTCATACACACACACACACACGCACATATATATATTCAGAACTATCTAAAGTTGTACAAGACACTAATGTAGGACTTCAAAAGCAAGTAACATTGTTAACATACCCCTTTCAAAAACATCAGATCACATATAATAAAGTGAAAAAGAGTATAATTTCTGCAATGTAAATCGCCTGGAGCTTCTCGGATGGAGGGCGATTAACAAGTAATTAAAGATGATGATGATGATGATGATGATGAATATGGAGTTCAAAAACTATTATAAACACGCTTTACTACGAATATGGGAAAGAGATAAATCAATCTTATGCCCGAAGATCCCAGGGTGGGTATCTGTGCAAGAAGCATTTTATAGAAACGAGACACACAGTAAGAAGAAATGATTAATATATCAAGATCTCCAAGAAAATGTACATGGAGAATTTAGAATCAAAACAAGAGAACTATTTATTTATTTATTTACTGTATTTGGATACCGCCCTTCTCAGCCCTCAGGCGACTCAGGATGGTTTACAGTGGCAACGATTCGATGCCCAAAAACACCATAAAACGTTTAAAAACATTAACACATAATATAAAACTATAACAAAAGTATTAAAAACTTAGATCATTTGTATCTTCTAATAAAAACTCTAAAATATATAAAAAGAGCTCCATTATTTGCTGGAAATGTAAACAACAAGTGGTGTCCTTCTATCATATGTAGTGGGCATGTAAGCATGCCAAGAAATTTTAGATTCAAACACACACAGTGATCCAGACAATTTAAGGGAAGCATCTAGCTAAAGAAATGAGACTTTTCTACTTGGTCTGACTGACAAAAATTACCAGGATAGACTATAGCAATATATGGCCACAGCAGGCAGACTGCTATATGTGCAGAAATGGAAGAGTACAGTAATGCCAACAATGGAGGATTGGATGATAACAGTGATGGACTTGGCTGAAATGGAGAAATTAACATGTCTACTAAAAGAAGGGACGATTCTTGTAAATTCTGAGTTTTGAAGACTAAATTAAAGGTTTTTGTTGTTGTTGCAATATGAGACAAGAACTAGCATAGAGAGATCTAGAGGGTGAATGAAGTGTATGATACTAGCTTTCTTTGTGACTAGATTGAGATAGACTGGAAGTAATCCATTTTTTCACTTCTCTCTCTTTTTTTTTTAAAGAGAAGGGTATATAAAGAAGGTGCAGTAATGTTATATGGAAATGAAGTATATGTATGAGCACCAATGGAAACTAAGTGTAAGCAAGATGTTGTAATGTTGAAACAATAAAAAAGATAGCAAGGAATCTTACCCCCCAAAACAAACAAACAAAACCACCAGACCACAGAAACATACTGTGCATACTCAATTCTAATGCTCACCTGTTTTGGCTAAATGACCTTACCAAAATTAGGGTGTGCATTAGATTCTTGAAATATGGTAAATACTTTTTTGGGTTTCAGGTTTTTTTTAAATTGAGATGTGCATTAGATTTGACGGAACATTGGACTTGGTATTACTTTGGTATTATAATATCGGTATTACTTTGGAAAAAGTAAAATTCAAAATTCAAAATCAAGTATGCCAAACCAACATTTCTGTACTTCTGAGAATGACTTGATTTCCCAATAGGCTTCCTGCACCGCTTGATTTATAACCTTGATTATACTCTGAAATTGAGCTATAAATACACTCACACACCCCCATGTATTTTCTAGGTCATATAAACCTGGGGCTGATGATGAGCCAAGAATGAATCTGACTCTAGGCAGTATGATGACACTGCAAAAGTATCCTATCAAAATATATTATTACATACAGACCATCTTAGGTTTGACCAGAGCTGACCAAATATATCTTGCCTCTTCTCTGTTTCATTGAAAAGGATGAAATAAATTGAAAATGATGGGCCTTAATATTGATTTTGATCAATTCAGATGTTTGCTATTCAAATAATTTTTAGAAATTCAAAAAGCAAACTTCAATGTTGCTTTTTTATTAAGGAAAACATTTTACTACAACCACTATATATCGTGAGGCCTGAGCAATGATGGATTTTGGTATCCATGG